CATCCCAGGCCCAGTCTGGGTGTCTGTCTCAGCACCCTGGACCTGGCCCACTGTCAGGGCCCCCCACCCAGAAGCTGGACCATTCTGTCGGGTCTGCCTGGTGGCCTGCCAGGTGGGGCCCCTGCAGGGCGGTTCCATAGGCCTGGGGCGTGCAAGCAGGTGTGATGCACACCTGTGAGCTCTGGGAGGCTGAGGCAGGAGGGTCACAAGTTCGAGGCAACCTGGTCAGCTGAGCGGCTTAGCCAGACCCTGTCTCCAGATCAAAATTTAAAAAGCGCTGGGATGCGGAGCTCAGCACAGGGGCCCTGGGTTCCATCCTCGTACGGAAACAGCCCTTGAAATGCTGTGTGCCTTTTCTTTGTGCCCTGGGGTTGCAAGGCACTGCCCACGCCCCCAGTGGGACCTGGCGGGTGCCTTCCAGACAGATGGCCGGGACTGTCCATCCCAGGCCTACCCTGGGAGCAGAGGAGCTGTCCCTGTCCCCAGCCACCCTCGGCCAATGTCCCCTGTCTCCGCAGGAGCCCCAGGGACCCGAGCCCTCCCCACATCCTCCTGGCCAGTCTTCCCTGAGCCAGCTGGGAGCCTACGGGGACAGTGAGGACAGTGACACCAGCGCCTGACGCAGCACCCCAACCGGCCACGGGCCCCAGAGCTGCAGGCACACAGAGGTCAAGATGCCTTCCGAAGCTACCGTGGCCTCCAGGTCCCCCCTGCTGCCAGGTCAAGGCTGTGCTGCCCTGCTCTGTCCCCTGGTCACCTCTGTCCCAGCCACAGAGCTGTTGGAACCAATAAAAGGTGCGGTCCGGGGCTGGGTACCCCGAAGAGTCCAGGGACCCTGAGGCCTCTGTGCCCAGGACCCCACGTGGAGGCCCGTGTGGCACTGGCGAGGGTCTCGTTGGGCCCACAGGGTAGCCATTGTGTTCGCCTCCCCCAGCCCGCGGCAGAGTGGCCAAGGTCACCTGGCTCCCAACCCTGCAGGCCGGGACCCTTGGGTTGCCACCTCCAGCACAGAGCTGGAGAGGTCAGGTGTGCAGGTGCCACCCGCTTCTCCTTGGAATTTTCGGGTACTGAGCCACCTGCTCCTGCCCCCTGCCTCGTGCCCGGCACAGCACCAGGCTGTCCCTGCCACCGCCTCGCCAGCTGTCACCCCTCACCCCTCTGCCTTGGGTTGGTGCCAGACAGGGAGCCCTGGCATGAGCCAAGCTGTGTACCACCCTGCCCAGTCAGATGGGGCCTGAGAGGTGCCAGCCCGGGTGTCAGGCCTGGTCTTCCCGCTCCTGTGAGCTCGGGGTCACCAGCTTCTGTCAAGTGCCTCTCCCATCACATGGGCCCTGGGGAGAGGCTCATGTCCCCATGTGACTGGGGGCCTGTTTTTTGTTTTTTTGGTACTGGGCCAGGCAGGTGCTTATGCTGCTGAGCTAAGTCCTTGGCCCTTGGGGGCCTCTAACCAGCAGTTAACACAGCTAGGGATTGAGGACAGCAGAGCGTGGTGGTGCACCTGCCATCCAGTCATCTGGGAGGCTGAGGCAGGGGAACCCCAAATTTCAGCTCAGCCGGGGTGCCTCAGAGATACCCCCTCTGAAGTGGAAAGGACTGGGGTGCAGCTCAGGATGAGCAGCTGGCTAGCAGAGGTCCATGGCAAGGGAAAAAGGCAGGCAGGGTCCAGAGCTCCTAAGCCAGGGCCACCCGACGCCGGCCAGCAGGCTTGCACTGTTCTCCTGCTGTGTTGTTTGAGTGAGAGTCTCCGTCTGCAGCCCAGGCCTTGACTTCATAGTGACCCTCCTGCCTCAGCCTCCTGAGTACAGGGATTACAGAGTGCTCCATGGAGTCTGCCCTCAGTAGATTTAGCCCCACAGGGGATCACCACCTCCTTCACGACCTGTTCCACAGCTCCCGGGCCCCCACCAGGTTTGGGGTCCCAGGGGTTCCAGAGACAGGGGGCCTCGCTAAGGACACCCCTCCTTTGTGAGCCCCCACTCAGCCTAAGTATCTGCTGAGCACCTGCTGTGAGACTCCCTGCCGAGGAGGCCTTGGTGGTGACCTCAGCCAGAGACAGAGGTCCCAGGGTGGGCTCTGCGGACAGGGAACACCAGACAGGTGCTTCCAGAGAGGGGAAGTGACCTTGGGGTACCAGGTGGGGAGGGGGCATGTGGCTACTAATTGGGTGCGGGGTTTCTTTTGGAGATGACCAAACTGTCACGAAACAGATATCGGTGCTTGTTAACTGTTCCTTGTATAGTTGGGGTGCGTGCGCATGTGTGTGTGTGTGTGTGTGTGTGTGTGTGTGTCAGTGTGTGCACCCAGAGAGCCCTCATCCCTGAGCCTCTCCCCCTCCTGTGAGGACGCCCAGGGGTGGCAGCCACGCTGGTGCACACCTGCCTTAGCTGTGCTCAGGAGGCCGAGGCAGGAGGATGTCGAGCAGTCAGCAATGGCCTGGGCTGTGGAGAATTCAGGGCAGCCAAACCCAGCCAAAAGCAGGCCCAGGTTCAGTCCCCAGTCCTGGGGGAACGCAGGCTATGAGCTCTAGTGTGTAAGGATTATATTTCATAAAGCAAAACAGCCCCCCAAATCAAGATGGGGAGCTATGGCTCATCGGGACACAGCTACGTTCATGTTTTTGGGGGGAGCACGGTCACCCCAAGGTCACAGGGACTGGGGGTTTAGGACCTGAGTGCTAGGGAACTGGGATCCGGGTTTCTACGACGCTGAGCCCCATGTGGTGATCAGATGCCTCCAGTGGGGTGACTCCCCACCCCCCCACACAGGCAGTGGCTATCCCCGACAAAGCAGCTCAAAGGCCTGGGAAGTCAAATGTCATTTGATTCTGCCCAGGGTGCCCTGATTGCTAGGCCAGCAAAGGTGTGTAATTAGGAGGCACCTTCCAATATTTATACCTCAGGGGCTGGGGATTTAGCTCAGGGGCATAAGCGCCTGCCTTGCAAGCAGGCAGTCGTGAGTTGGATCCCTGGTATTGATAAAAAGGAAAAAGACAAAAAAAGAATAAAAGTATTTATACCCCGAGACAGCTTGGGCTTGAGGGATCTGTCAGCAGCTCTTGCCGACCTGGGAATGGCATCTCTGCTGACAGAAAACAGGATGAACACCTGGCATGCTCCCAAGCACCCCTGGTGACACCTCCTAGTCCAGGTCCTGCATCGGGGAGGGCGGGGAACCAGCGGGAAGGTAGGGAAGGCAGCCTGGAGGCAGCAGGTTCAACAGGTCTGAGACTGGACAGAGGTGGGGCTGAGAGGGAGGTAAGGGGAGTGTCAAGGCCCTCTTGCCTTCTTGGCTGTGGGCCTCAGTTTCCCCGACTGGGAAATGGGCCAGTGGAGGAGGAGAAAGGGAGAACTCTGGTTTCCACAAAGAGACTCCTAGGGACCTGCTACACAAAAGCCAGGCGCAAAGGGGACCCTGGTTCCCTGAGTAACGCCCCTCCCTCTGTGCCTCAGTTTCTCCACCTGTAAAAGGGACACCCTGTGTAAACATCCGTGCCGAGGAGCCTCCCCCCCAGCTCCCTGGGTGCTCTTGGAGGAAGCCTCACCTGCTTTTTGTTTTAAGACAGCCCTGCTTGGTGGTCCAGGCTGCCCTTGATCTCCTTGATCACAGGCTGGCTTCATACTGGTGGTGATCCTCCTGCCTCGGCCTCCCAAGTGCTGGGATTAGAGGTCGGTGTCCCCAAGCTTGGCCTGGTTTGTCCTATGAGGGAAACCACGGCAGAGGCAGCTGCAGACCCCCCCTCCAGCTCCCCTGTCATCCGTGTCTCGGAGCTCACGGCCCCAAGGGCTGCCCGGCATTTGTTCCGTTCCAAGGTGTACTTCAGGGGGAGCCAGGAGCAAGGACCCCGGGGTCCCCAGCCTTTCCCAGCCATGTCATTAAGTGGACGTCAGCAAGGTCCCTTTAAGGAAAGAAAAGATGGTGCTGTCAAACTTGCTGTTGCCCCCCAGTCCCCTGACTCCACGCAGGTGTCAGTGACAAACGGGCAGGCCCGAGGCCTCTCCCCACTGGGCCTCCACCCGAGCCACAAAGGGACAGATGGGAGGCTACCAGAGGGGCGCAGATAGCATGGCCCCCGGGGGCTCTGCCCTCCCGTCCCCCAGGATGCTACGAATCCCCCAGGAGGGAGGGAGGCGGGAAAGGCGCCCCGGGAAGGGGCTGGCCCAGGCCAGTGCCACCTCCTGCCGGGCCTTGCCAGTGGCCTCCGTGGTGGCCACACGGTCCCTCTGCTGGCCTGGTGCTCAGACTCTGGCTGATTTTCAATCCCCCCTGGTGGACCCCTGGCCAGTGTCACCCCTCATGCCTCATGGCAAACTCTTGAGGCGCCTTAATGATGACAGACTTTTCATTCAGTCAATGAAAATCCGCCAGGCTGGTGGCACACATCTGAAACTCCAACACTCCGGAGGCTGAGGCAGGAGGATCCAGGCGGGGTCAAGCCCCTGACTGAAAAAAACAAAAACGAAACAAATCAAAAGTGCTGGCGAGTCCAAGGGAAAAGAGGGACTCTTCTGACTCTTTGGCCGTAATGTAAACTAGTGAAGTACTATGGAAATCGGTGTGAAGATTCCTGAGAAAATTAAAACTAGAAATTCCATTTGAGCCTAAGCAAGGAGTACAAAACATAGAATAGATATTTATGAAAGGAAAGAGGAGGCTTGGGAAGGAACGAGTGGGCTGGCCTGATCAAAAGGAAGAAACAGACAGACATTGGCAGGACATTTGTGTGTTTGGAGACTGATGTTTATTTATTTTTTATTTTGAGACACGGTCTCACTATGTAAGCCAGGCTGGCCTTGAACACGCCGCGATCCTCCTGCCTCGGGCTCCCAAATAGTTGAAACCCACAAGATTCCCGGAACCTTTATTTCGTGTGACTGAGGTTGCAACTCCGGAGGGAATACGGACGCGCTCACCGTTTGATAAACTGACATTGTAGCCAATGGCAAAGGCAGCTATGTGTGTGGTAGCGAATGAGAGGAAGGAGGAAGTGACGTTTACGGAAGTGCAAGGCATTGCTAGAGAAGCTTGTTAAGTACCGGATCAGTTCTCCAGAGCGGTCAGAAAAGGAGGCAGCCAACATGTCTGAGCGCAAAGTTCTAAATGTAAGTGACTGCCCGTTTTAAAGGCGACATGGCGGCACACATCTGTCATCGCAGCACTCTGGGAGGTCGAGACAGGAGGAGTCTCAGCTCGGGCCCAGCCTGGGTTACAGAGTGAGGCCATGTCTTGAAATAAAAACTGGGAAGGACTGGGGATGGAGCTCAATGTGACGGTGCTGGGTTCTGTCCTCGGTATGGGAGGAGGGGGGCGTCAGGAGTCTCGGTGCCAGCCAGAAAGGGACTTGGTGACCAGGTCCCCAGGAGCTGCCCAGGGTAGCAGGATCTCATGTGTGTTGTCGTTGTTCTTTGGGGAAATCAGATGACCCAGTGATCTCCTGGAAGAAGGATGTGGAAGGTTGCTCCGTCCCCTCACCCCAGCTGTGCCCCTGGGTTTGGCCGAGCCTGATGGGTTTGGTTGTAGTTGAACACAGCTGTGAGCATGCATAGAGGCTGAAACCAGTGAGGGCTCCTTGCAAATTACCGAGCTTGGGGTGCTCCTGGGTGCCCCTTTTCCCTCTGCCCATGTCCTCCCCTGCCAGCCCTGACTGCTTCTCCCCCCCCCCCCCCCCGCAGAAATACTACCCACCGGACTTCGACCCCTCGAAGATCCCCAAGCTCAAGCTCCCCAAGGACCGGCAGTACGTGGTGCGGCTTATGGCTCCCTTCAACATGAGGTATGTGTGGGTCACTCAGAGGGACCTGTGACCGCAGAGGTGGCCAGTGCATTCAGCCAGTGCTGGACCAGGCCTTGCTCCCCCACCCCAGGACTAAAGGCCCTGAGCTCCCAGAATCCCCCAGGAGCACCACCTGCTGCCTGAGGTCAGAATCATGGAATCACTGGCGAATGTGTGGCTGCAGCAATGGGGCCCTGTGGGCATGCCTCTGCCCCTTCACAGCACAGGAGAGCCCGGCTCTGCCTCAGAGCCTTTGCACTCACTGCAGCCTCTACCTCAGCCCCGCATGCCCGGTTCCTGACTGCCCGTGCAATCCTGTATTATCTTTACCCCCAGACAGGCCACCATCCTCCGCCTGAGCCTGCTCCCTTCACATCTGTGATCCCCCAGCCCCGGATCACACAGCTGGTTTCCTTTCAAAGTCTCCACAGGCTCATTCCCAGCCAGGCAGAGCCCTTTGGTTTTTTTTTTCCACTTTGATTTTTCAAGACAGGGGCTTGCTGTGCAGCTCAGGCTGGTCTCTCATTCACTCCTTCCCATGCCTCAGCATCCCAAGGGCTGGGATTCAGGCGTGTGCCACCACAACCCACTTCTAAGTCTCCTTTGGACCAGCGAAACTCAGAAAGTCTCTGTGTCCACCTGGCTGTTCTCTGTTGATTCTGCAGCTTCCATTTCTTGGGAACCTGCTGTGTGCCACGTCCACACTGCACACCAGGGACCTAAATTCATCCTGGGGTTGTCTCACATTCAGTGAGACCTGGAAGTCGGAGGGGAGGGCATGACTGGCCTAGTCGGAGAGGGAAGGCGTTCCAGCCAGGATGGGGGTGATGTCGGAAGCTGAGGCCTGGGGGACAAAGAGTCATAGGCTGCAGATGGTGCCGTGCAAAGGCCCTGGGGCGAGAAGAGGCTGTGGCATTTGCTGGCACAGTAGGAGCTTAGGATCTAGGCAGCTGGGAGGAGGGAGGCCAGGCTGGCAGAGCCTTGGTGAGTGATGCCCCCGGGCCCGAGGGAAGGCCCAACTGGTGAACTCCCAGCCTGGTGTTTCCCAAGGAAGTGACTTGTGGGTAGACAGGCGAGATCAAGGATGGCGGCACAGGACAGCAGCGATCTGTGAGCTCTCTGGGGCAGGCTGTTCGTGTAGGAGGAGCTCCCTGTCTGGAGGCAGGCAAGCAGCCAGCTTTCATCTTGTGCATTAGAGGAATGGGCATAAGAGCCCAAGGCCCCTCAGCCGCCCCTGTCACCAGGTGCAAGACATGCGGGGAGTATATCTACAAGGGCAAGAAGTTCAACGCCCGCAAGGAGACGGTGCAGAACGAGGTGTACCTGGGCCTGCCCATCTTCCGCTTCTACATCAAGTGCACCCGCTGCCTGGCAGAGATCACCTTCAAGGTACGGGCCAGGCAGTCCTGGGGAGCAGACAGAGCTCTGAGGGACATGTTCAAGGCAGCCTCGCTCATGCAGGCAGAGAGCTGCCAGCCCTGGAGGCTGAGGCAGGAGGGTCCCTTTGCAAATCCCCACCTCAAAATAAAACACAAAAAGGACTATGGAGTAGCTCAGAGCGAAGACCCTGGGTTCCACCCCAGTGCTGTAAAAATCTAGCGAAAATGCCCAGGCCTGGGCTTTTTGCAGGGGGCTGGAGGCCCCACAAAGACGGCCCTGTCTCTGCCAAAGCATGGAGCCAGAAAAGGAAGAGATGACAGACAGGACGGGGAGCCGGGGATGGGGTGGGGGTGCAGGCTGCCCCACAGGGCCTCCGTTGTACAGGGGTGACATTGCCGTCCCCCCCCAGACAGACCCCGAGAACACTGACTACACCATGGAGCACGGCGCCACGCGCAACTTCCAGGCCGAGAAGCTGCTGGAGGAGGAGGAGAAGCGGGTGCAGAAGGAGCGGGAGGACGAGGAGCTCAACAATCCCATGAAGGTGAGCAGGGTGGGCTGCGGGCTGCACAGGGCTCCCGTCCCCTGGCCTCACGGGAGAAGAGGGGGTTTCTCTGTAAGGGACTGGTGTCAGGATGAGCGCGGGGCGTCCCAGGCTGGGGGACAGTGCGTGGCCCTGGGGACCTCGTGTGTCCGCAGCCAGCAAGGGGAAAGTGCCTGTGGCGAGTGCAGAGGTGCCCCCGGGAGGCTGAGGTCCTGCCCGGCAGCTGGGGCGGGCGCTCCCCCGCGACCCCGGAGGCCTGGTCCCAGCACCCCCGCACACCCACCCGCAGGTGCTGGAGAACCGCACCAAGGACTCGAAGCTGGAGATGGAGGTGCTGGAGAACCTGCAGGAGCTCAAGGACCTGAACCAGCGCCAGGCGCAGGTGGACTTTGAGGCCATGCTGCGGCTGCACCGGCTTTCGGAGGAGGAGCTGCGGCGGCAGCAGGAGGAAGAGGACGAGCAGGAGACAGCGTGAGTGTGGGCCCCTCGCTCCTCCCCCGGGGCTCCCGTCCACACCCCATCTCACCTTCTCCCTCGTGGTGTCTGCATCAGGGTGTCTCTGTGAACTCTGCACGGAGGCTGCCCGTCCTGGCGGCTGGTGTTGGGCTTCGGGCTCTGGGTTCATGTCCCAGTGCTGGACACCGGAGCCAGGGTGCTTGCCGTGAGCCGAGCTGTCAGCCCCTGACTGTTGTGTATCGTGAGACAGGGTTTGCTAGGTTTCCCAGGTGGGGCTCAAACCTGCGATCTTCCTGCCTCAGCCTCCCAGAGAAACGGGATGGCAGGTGTGCACCACCACACCTGGCTTGCTGTGGTTTTGCGGGAGCCGAGTGCCTCGTGCTTGCTAGGCTGGGCTTCTGGGGCGCATGCCTGGGGCCACGCGGGGTGCGCTTCATTCCCCTCAGCCCCCGCATGGCTTCCCCCTTCGCCAGCACACAGTAGGTGCCAGTGACAGGTTAGTGTCGCTGTGACTGCGGTGACAGCACCCAGTGTGTGCTGGGCTGGCTCCGACTTCTCCTGCCCTCCCTCCCACACCCTGGAGGTTGACAAGCCAGCACCAGGGTCAAGGGACTGAGGTCACACTGCCCGGGACGCGCCCCAGCCCAGGTACCCAGCCGGGGTTCCAAATGGGCAGCTATAGCTCCCCCGACCACTCAGCGCTGCCCAGGACTGGTCATTTACTTACAATTACTATTTGTTGTTGAGAAGAGGTCTCTCCTGTAGTTCAGGGTAGCTTTTAAACGCACTCCGTAGCCCAAGCCGGCCTTCAACTCAGAATGACTGTCCTGTCTCACCTCCTGAAGTCTGTGATGACAGCTGTGTGCTTCCCTGCCTGGCTAGAAAGGTTAACTTTAAAACATCTCATCAAGGGGCTGGGGCTTTACCTCAGCGGCATAAGCACCTGCCTTGCAAGCAGGCGGTTGTGAGTTCGATCCCCGGTACCGATAAAAAGGAAAAAGACAAAAAACCAAAACAAAACATCTAATCAGGCTTGTCATCCCAGCCCTCTGCAAGGCTGAGGCAGGAGGATCACAAGTTCAAGCCCAGCCTGGGAATCCTAGCAATTTAGGGAGGCCCTGTTTCAATATTCAAAATTGGCTGGGGATGGAGCTCGGTGCCAAGGCCCTGGTCGCAGTCCCCATCCTGCAGAACTGTCGCCCAGTGCCTTTTCCTTCCCAGCACTGCTGCGTGAGGACAGCGCAAGGTCCCCGCCAGGCCGGGTGCCATCCCTGTGTGGCGTATGCCCAGCGCTGCGCTCTGTCACACAGGGCGCTCCTGGAGGAGCAGCGGAGGCTGAGGCTCCTGGAGGACTCGGACTCAGAGGACGAGGCTGCCCGCGCCCCGCCAGCCCCGCGGCCCCAGCCCACCGCCATGCTGTGTGAGGTGAGCCCCCCCGGGCCGGGAGGTGGGGAGCAGGGCCGCAGCCTGGTCCTCACAGCGCCCAGGGTTCCACACTTGCATGGGGTGTGAAGGTGGAGGTCAGGTGCCCAGGACTCTGGGCTGGCATTTGCCAGCCAGCGGAAGCTGCTGTGCAAGGGGACACAGGTCGCTGGCTAGGTGTCTCCTTGCCACGATGATAGAAATTAAAGTAGAGCCTGCATGTGGCACCTGCCTGGAACCCTGCACTCGGGGGGGCTGAGGCAAGAGGATCTCTGCAAATCTGAGGCCAGCCCAGACTACACAGTGAAACTATGTATCAAAAAGACACAACAAAGCCGGGCGTGCTGGTGCACGCCTGTCATCCTAGCACTGGGGAGGCTGAGGCAGGAGGATCATTGTGAGTTTGAGACCAGCCTGGGCTACAAAGTGTCTCAAGGCCGGCATGAGCTGCACAGTGAGACCCTGCCTCAAAAAGACAGTAAGAACAAACCACGGCGTTTTTGTTTGGTTTTGCATGAGCAGCCGCAGGAGTGCCCTGGTGTGGGGCCCTCCTCCCCACCTTGACAAAGGGTCAGCTGAGCCAGAGTCCAGCCCATCCTTTCCTCAGGCCTCCAAAACATAGAAAACGTCCGCCTTGCTTGCTGCCCCTCCCCGTCATTTGATTTTGGGGCAAAGTCTCGTTGTTGACTTAAACTGGAGATTCTCCTGCCTCAGCCTCTGCAGTACCAGGCATTATGGCCCCCAACACGGGGCTCTCTTTAATGGTGCCCTTTCACGACACCCTATCAGAGGTGGCATCCCCTCTGGTCTCACTTCCCTAGCTTCACAGAGGATGGGACCAGGCTTGCAGTGTGAGGGATGAGTAGGAGTTTGCCAGGGAAGGGGAGGGAAGTCAGCCCTGGAGCAGGGGCTGGCGGGGGTGAAGGGCTGCAGATGGGAAGGCACAGTGGGCTCGGGCCGCACAAGGCCTGGGGGTAGGAGGGGGGCGGACGAGGCCTGAGGGCCCCGCTCAGGGCAGAAGGGTCCCTCAGGTGTTCAGAGGACCCCATAGGCCTGGCCACCTCCCCGGGATGCCGGGCTGCATCAGCAGGGCCAGGAAGTCCCCCCAAGCCATGTCCCTGTCCCTCCAGGTCCCAGAGGCCAAGAGGAAGGCGGGAAGCCTGTGCAGCAGGTCACAGCTGTCTGGCTTGGTGGTGGTGAAGAGGATCAGGACCTCAGCGCAGGGCGCGGGCTGCCTGCAGGGCCAGGCCCCTTCCCGGCATGGTCAGTTCTCGCCTGCCACATCGGCCGCTAGGTGGCGGCAGCGTCCCCGGGTTTCTGGGTTCCTGGGGCAGAGGGGTGACCCCAGGCAGTTGTGCGGGGAGGGAGGACAGAGGGCCCCCTCTTCTGTCCACACTTCTTTCTGATCCAAGGAACGGAACCCGGCTGTTACTGTTTTTTCTTTCTGTTTTGAGACAGGGTCTCACCCTGACATTCAGAATGGCCTCGAACTCCCTGTGTGGCCTGTAGCCCTGATGGTCTTGAAGTCACAGTGATCCTCCTGCCTCAGCCTCCAGAGTGCAGGGATCACAGGCGGGCGCCACCACACCCGGCCCTTTTTAGTTTGAAACAGGCTCGCTAAGTGGTTAAGTTACTGGGCTGGCTTGGAAATCAGTTTTCCTGCCTCAGCCTCCCACATTACGGGGTACAGGGGTAAGGCGCTGTGTGGTTTTTTTCATCTTTTAATTAGAAAAGGAACAGGAATCTCTAAACCCTAAATAACCCCGAGACACTGCCTCCCCATCCCCAGCATGAAGGAAATCAGCGTCCCCACATCCCAGGCCCAGTCTGGGTGTCTGTCTCAGCACCCTGGACCTGGCCCACTGTCAGGGCCCCCCACCCAGAAGCTGGACCATTCTGTCGGGTCTGCCTGGTGGCCTGCCAGGTGGGGCCCCTGCAGGGCGCTTCCATAGGCCTGGGGCGTGTAAGCAGGTGTGATGCACACCAGGAGCTCTGGGAGGCTGAGGCAGGAGGGTCACAAATTCAAGGCCAGTCTGGTCAGCTGAGCAGCTTAGCCAGACCCTGTCTCCAGATCAAAATTTAAAAAGCGCTGGGATGGGGAGCTCAGCACAGGGGCCCTGGGTTCCATCCTTGTATGGAAACAGCCCTTGAAATGCTGTGTGCCTTTTCTTTGTGCCCTGGGGTTGCAAGGCACTGCCCACGCCCCCAGTGGGACCTGGCAGGTGCCTCCAGACAGATGCCAGGGACTGTCCACCCCAGGCCTACCCTGGGAGCAGAGGAGCTGTCCCTGTCCCCAGCCACCCTCGGCCAATGTCCCCTGTCTCCGCAGGAGCCCCAGGGAGCCGAGAGGATGCCGAGCCCTCCCCACATCCTCCTGGCCAGTCTTCCCTGAGCCAGCTGGGAGCCTACGGGGACAGTGAGGACAGTGACAACAGCGCCTGACCCAGCACCCCGCCCGGCCACGGGCCCCAGAGCTGCAGGCACACAGAGGTCAAGATGCCTTCCGAAGCTACCGTGGCCTCCAGGTCCCCCCTGCTGCCAGGTCAAGGCTGTGCTGCCCTGCTCTGTCCGCTGGTCACCTCTGTCCCAGCCACAGAGCTGTTGGAACCAATAAAAGGTGCGGTCCGGGGCTGGGTACCCCGAAGAGTCCAGGGACCCTGAGGCCTCTGTGCCCAGGACCCCACGTGGAGGCCCGTGTGGCACTGGCGAGGGTCTCGTTGGGTCCACAGGGCAGCCATTGTGTTCGCCTCCCCCACACCATGGCAGAGTGGCCAAGGTCACCTGGCTCCCAACCCTGCAGGCCGGGACCCTTGGGTTGCCACCTCCAGCACAGAGCTGGAGAGGTCAGGTGTGCAGGTGCCACCCGCTTCTCCTTGGAATTTTCGGGTACTGAGCCACCTGCTCCTGCCCCCTGCCTCGTGCCCGGCACAGCACCAGGCTGTCCCTGCCACCGCCTCGCCAGCTGTCACCCCTCACCCCTCTGCCTTGGGCTGGTGCCAGACAGGGAGCCCTGGCATGAGCCAAGCTGTGTACCACCCTGCCCAGTCAGATGGGGCCTGGGAGGTGGCAGCCCGGGTGTCAGGCCTGTTCTTCCCGCTCCTGTGAGCCCGTTGTCACTGGCTTCTCTCCCGTGCCTCTCCCATCACATGGGCCCTGGGGAGAGGCTCATGTCCCCATGTGACTGGGGGCCTGTTTTTTGTTTTTTTGGTACTGGGCCAGGCAGGTGCTTATGCTGCTGAGCTAAGTCCTCGGCCCTTGGGGGCCTCTAACCAGCAGTTAACACAGCTAGGGATTGAGGACGCCAGAGCGTGGTGGTGCATGCCTGTCATCCAGTCATCTGGGAGGCTGAGGCAGGGGAACCCCAAGTTTCAGCTCAGCCGGGGCGCCTCAGAGATACCCCCTCTGAAGTGGAAAGGACTGGGGTGCAGCTCAGGATGAGCAGCTGGCTAGCAGAGGTCCATGGCAAGGGAAAAAGGCAGGCAGGGTCCAGAGCTCCTAAGCCAGGGCCACCCGCCGCCGGCCAGCAGGCTCGCACTGTCCTTCTGCTGTGTTGTTTGAGTCAGAGTCTCTGTCTGCAGCCCAGGCCTTGACTTCATAGTGACCCTCCTGCCTCAGCCTCCTGAGTACAGGGATTACAGAGTGCTCCATGGAGTCTGCCCTCAGTAGATTTAGCCCCACAGGGGATCACCACCTCCTTCACGACCTGTTCCACAGCTCCCGGGCCCCCACCAGGTTTGGGGTCCCAGGGGTTCCAGAGACAGGGGGCCTCGCTAAGGACACCCCTCCTTTGTGAGCCCCCACTCAGCCTAAGTATCTGCTGAGCACCTGCTGTGAGACTCCCTGCCGAGGAGGCCTTGGTGGTGACCTCAGCCAGAGACAGAGGTCCCAGGGTGGGCTCTGCGGACAGGGAACACCAGACAGGTGCTTCCAGAAAGGGGAAGTGACCTTGGGGTGCCAGGTGGGGAGGGGGTAAGTGACTGCTGATTGGATGTGGGGCTTCTTTTGGAGATGATCAAACTGTCACAGAAATAGATAGTGGTGCTTGTTACTCAGCTGTGCCAATATATTAAGAGCCACAATAACTGTTCATGTGTAGTTGGGGTGCATGCGCAAGTGTGTGTGTGTGTCAGTGTGTGCACCCAGAGAGCCCTCGCCCCTGAGCCTCTCCCCGTCCTGTGAGGACGCCCAGGTGTGGTGGCCACGGTGGTGCACACCTGCTTTAGCTGTGGTCAGGAGTCCGAGGCAGGAGGATGGCGAGCAGTCAGCGATGGCCTGGGCTCCGGAGAATTCAGGACAGCCAAACCCAGCCAAAAGCAGGCCCAGGTTCATTCCCCAGTCCTGGGGGAACACAGGGTATAAGCTCTAGGGTGTAGGGATTATATCATACAGCAAAACAGCCCCCCAAATCAAGATGCGTATCTGTGGCTCACGGGGGTGCAGCTACTGTCTCGATTTGGGGGAGAACGTGGTCACTCCAAGGACACAGGGACTGGGGGTTTAGGACCTGATTGCTAGGGGGAACGGGGTTTGCAGGACACTGAGCCCCACCTGGTGGTCAGATGCCTCCAGTGGGATGAGGGGCCCCCAGACTCCGCCCCCTCTTCGCCCAGGGAGCTTTGAGCCCCTAGAAAACAGCTCAAAGGCCTGGGAAGTCAAACGCTATTTGATTCCGCCCGGGGCGCCCTGATTGCTATGCCAGCCGCTGCTTGTAATTAGCAGGCGCTTTCAAATATTTATACATCCGGCCGAGTTTACTGGCATAGACACCTCGGGCTGGAGCAATCTGTCAGCAGCTCAGCCAGAGCTGGGAATCACCTCGCGGCTGACAGAAAATAGGACAATTACAGGGCTTGCTCCCCAGTGCCCCTGGACACACTGCCTGGTCCAGGTCCCTCAGGGGGGAGGGGGGGCAGTCAGCAGGGAGGTAGGGAATGCCACCTGGGGGCAGCAGGTTCAACTGGTCTGAAACTGGGCAGATGTGCCGCAGAGAGGGAGGTAAGGGGAGTGTCAAGGCTCTGTCTTCTGGGCTGTGGGCCTCAGTTTCCCCACCTGTGAAATGGGCCAGTGGAGGAGCAGAAAGGGAGAACTCTGGTTCCCACAAAGAGACTCCTAGGGACCTGCTACACAAAAGCCAGGCCCAAAGGGTCCCCTGGGTCCCTGAATAACGCCCCTCCCTCTGTGCCTCAGTTTCTCCTCCTGTAAAAGGGAGACCCTGTGTAAACATCCTTGCCGAGGAGCCTCCTCCCAGCTCTCTGGGTGCTCTTGGAGGAAGCCTCACCTGCTTTTTGTTTTAAGACAGCCCTGCTTGGTGGTCCAGGCTGCCCTTGATCTCCTTGATCGCAGGCTGGCTTCATCCTGGTGGTGATCCTCCTGCCTCTGCCTCCCAAGTGCTGGGATTAGAGGTCGGTGTCCCCAAGCTTGGCCTGGTTTGTCCTATGAGGGAAACCAAGGCAGAGGCAGCTGCAGACCCCCCTCCAGCTCCCCTGTTATCCGTGTCTCGGAGCTCCCGGCCCCAAGGGCTGCCCGGCATTTGTTCCGTTCCAAGGTGTACTTCAGGGGGAGCCAGGAACAAGGACCCCGGGGTCCCCAGCCTTTCCCCGCCCCTGTCTTTAAGGGGACATCAGCAAGGTCCCTTTAAGGAAAGAAAAGATTGTGCTGTCTAACTGGCTGCTGCCCCCCAGTCCCCTGACTCCAGCAGCTGTCGGTGACAAATGGCCAGGCCCGAGGGCTCTGCTCACCGGGCCTCCACCGGAGCCACAAAGGGACAGATGCGAGGCCGCCAGGCCCCCGCGGGCTCTGCCCTCCCGTCCCCCAGGCTGCCGCGAGTCCCCCGGGAGGGAGGAAGGGAGGGAGGCGGGAAAGGCGCCACCTCCTGCCGGGCCTTGCCGGTGGCCACGCGGTCCCTCTGCTGACCTGGTGCTCGGACTCGGTCTGATTTTCAATCCCTCCTCGCGGCCCCCTGGCCAGTGTCACCCCTTCTTGCGGTCTCTGGGTCCCAGTCCCCTCTTCTCCGCACCGACCCACTGTCCCCGGGAGGTGCCCGTCCCCCGCGCTCCGCCTCCTCCACCCCGTCCTGGTCCAGGGTCCGGGTCCAGCTGTCTCCGCCCGAGACTCGCTCTCCCTGATCCTGCTACCCGCCCTTCAGGAGCGGCTGAAGGTCTCCGTCACCTCCGAGGGGGCGCAGGGGGCGGGGACGCCTTGAGCTGGGGCCGGCTGGGTTGGCAGGGACCGTGCAGCCCGCGCCCTCCCCAAAGTGCCCCCTCCCGGCGACGCGCGCCGGCAAAGTCCCCGAAAGCGGAGCGCGGATTGCAGGGGATTTTATTTCCCTTTGTGCGGCTGGCTGGGGCTGATCGAGCCAGCTGACCGCAGGGACCTTGGCATGAGGACGCCCCGCAGCCCCCTGGGGCACGGAGCAGAGCAGCAGAGGGTGCCCCGGCCCGGGTCAACGTCCCCAGCGCTCAACTTTGCGCGCGCCCCAGGGGCCCCAGCGGCGAGAGACACCGAGAACCGGGGCGTCCTGGGCTAACTGGGGAGGGGATCCCAGCTAGGGACCCCCCTGAGCTTCGGGGGTGGGGGGAGGCGGAAAAGTCCGCCCGCTTACGCGGGTGTCCTGCGCCCTGGGGGCACCGGGGTGCGCCCGGCACTCATTGCCCTGTGGGGCGCCGCTGTCCCCCGAGGCCTCTCCGGAGCTGGGCTCTCCCTCGCCTGCTCCGCTCCTGCTTCCCTGCTCCCCGCCGTCCTCACCCCCAGAGAGCCCAGCCAAAGGTCACCCCATCCTCCCGCCCCTGCTCCTCCTCGGCTCCCCCTGCCCCAGCCCGGACCCCATGTGGGTCCCCCTCTGATCTTACCCAGGGTGGAGGTGACCCTCGCCCAGATGGCCAAGTGGCTCCGGGACTACCTGAGCTTCGGCGGCCGGAGACCCCCTCCGCAGCCGCCCACCCCCGACTACTCGGACAGCGACCTCCTGCTGGCCTACCGCATGCAGAAGAACCTGGACTTCGAGGACCCCTACGAGGACGCGGACAGCCGCTCCGAGCTGGACCCCGCGGCGCCCCCAGATCCCAAGGGTCCCAGCGACTGCAAGTACGACTCCCCCAAGCACCGGCTCATCAAGGTGGAAGCTGCGGACACAGCCCGGGCCAGGGCTCTGCCGGGCGCCCCCGGGGCCGAGGTGCGAGGCGGGTGGGGGGCCGGAGCTTGGGGCTGGGCGTGTGCATGGTCGCGGGGTGCTGGGGGAGCGGGGCACCACTAGAGAGGGAGAGACAGAGAGACAGACCGCTGCTCCAGCTGCTCACCTCGCCCTGGCCCCCTAAACAGCCCAGCAGGCACGGCCATGGGGGGGTTCCCCTTCTATTTTTTCCGTTTTAATTCGGTCCCCCCCCCCATGGGAGTGAAACCTGGGCCTCCACTCTGAGCTCCATCCCCAGCGTTTTATTTAGTTAGTTGGTTATTAAATTTTGAGACAAGGTCTCCCCTAAGTTGCTCGGCCTGAGGCCCAGTTTGAGCCCCTCCTGCCTCAGCCTCCCCTGGTGCTGGATGAAACGTGAGTCCCGCAGCTCCCGCCTTCTTCCTGGCCGTCACACGTGCTTTCCCCCATGACTGTCGACTCTCGTGTGTGGCAAGTGGAAACTGAGGCTCCAGGAGCGAGGTGACCTGCTCAAGGTCACAGAGCATCCACCCCAGTGTGGTACTGCTCTCCGTGGGGTCTTTTGCAGCCGCAAAGCCTCAGCTGAGGTCCCGGCTCTGAAGACTTGGGGACAGTGGCCAGGGCTGTGCTGTGTCATGGCTAAGAGCTCTGGGAGGAGAAGTGCAGGCGCAGATGCAGCCACCGTGTGGCCCTGGCCTGGTCACCGACCTTGTCTGTACTTTGGTGTCCTCAGCCGAGAAACAGGGATTCGGCATTGCCTGAAAGTTAGCATCACACAGAAGTGATGCATTAGAATCACAGTGGCATCTGGTCATGTTTGTTTGTTTGTTTGTTTGTTTTTAGAGACAGCATATCTCTATGTAACCCACAGTGGGCTTCAACTGGAAATCCGCATGCCTCAGCCTCCCCAAGGCAAGAATCCCAGGCCTTTGCCACCAACGCCTGGCTCAAATTTTTTTAAGATAGTGTTTCTGTGTAATTCAGGCTAGATTTGAACTCACTACCTAGTCCAGCTGGACCTAAAACTTGTAATCTTCCTGCCTCGGCTTCCTGAGTGCTAAGATTACAGCCCTGAGTCACCACACCGGCGTTTGGTTTGTTTCTGAACCGGGATCTCACTGTGTAGTTCAGGCTGGTCTTGAATTATGTAGCCACGCTGGCCTTTAATTCACAGCATCCTCCTGCCTCAGCCTCTGGACACCTGGCTCAGATATTCAGATTGTGGGAAGCCCTGGGGCTGTAGCTCGGTGACAAAGCAACTGCTCACCTAGCTGCTGTGGAGCCCTGGGGTCCGTTCCCCGCACCAGGAGAAACAAGGCCCAGGGTGCACAGAAAGTGGTAGCCTTAAACCAGCCCGCAGGCCGATCAGGGGTCCAGGCCTCAGCCCCTGCCCCCAGCACTCTCCGTGCCCTTTCTCCCCAGCTGGAAGTGGATGCTGAATATTCAGACCCATTTGATGCCCAGCCTCACCCACCACCCTCAGACGATGGCTACGTGGAGCCCTATGACACCCAACAGGTCACCAGTGGTGAGTGTCAGGGCTGGGGACAGGTGAGCAGGTTCCAGGTACAGGTGGGCGCTGACTGGCGTCCTCCACTTCCCAGAGCTGCCATGCAGGGCAGTCCAGCTGTATGACACTCCCTACGAAGAGCAGGACCAGGAGCTGGAGGAGAACGGGGCTTCCCCTGGCCAGAGGCCTCCACAGAGCCGGCTGCCCCCAGAGGATGAGCGGCCTGCCGATGAGTATGACCAGCCCTGGGAGTGGAAGAAAGACCACATCTCCAGAGCCTTTGCAGGTACCTCTGACCCAGGCCTTCTCTGTCCCCTGACCATTTGCTCCTGTTCTCCAGTTCAGTTTTCAAGGTAGAATCCAAACATTTACTACAACTGGTGGTTTGTTAATTCTCACTAAACTGTGAATGACTGATAGTCATAAATTCTTCCTCCTCAGAGGACCTGCATCTTCCTTGGCACTTGCAGGGCTCTCTACAGTAGAATGCAATTTAACTCCTCCTGTTGAGTAGTACATGGAGAGGAATATGGCTTTGGTGTCACACTATACTTGTGACATTTACTTAGACAAGTTACTGTTATTTTCCTGAGCCTTCCTTCCTTTATGCGTCAAATTGCTAGACCTACTGATGGGGTGTTTGTAAATTGAATGCTGGAAAGTAGTCAGTTACACAGGAGATGTTGCTTGGTGGGGGCAGGGTTTCTTAGCCATATAGACTTAGGGTCAAAGTCTAGCTGAACTGAGAAACTTGGATGAATTTCTGAAGTTTTCCTCTTCTGTTAAAGGGATAACAAGTAAGATCGGCTCTTAGCAGGGTTTGTGGCACACATTGGTCATCCAGAGCTCAGGAAGCTAAGGCACGACAGTTAAAAGTTCCAGGCATCCTGGGGGACTTAGTGACTTGGTGAGACCCTGTCTCACAGTTAAAAAATCAGAAAACGGGATTGGGATGTAGTTCGGTGTGAAGGCCCTGGATTCAATCGCCAGGGCCGCATAGATGGGTGGACGGATAATAAATAGATGGATAGATGGACAGATAGACAGATAAATACATACAGTAAAATTACTCAGGCCCAGGGGCTGGGGATTTAGCTCAGCGGCATAAGCGCCTGCCTTGCAAGCAGGCAGTCATGAGTTCGATCCCTGGTACCGATAAAAACGAAAAAAAGACCAAAAAAAAAAAAAAAAAAAAAAAAATTACTCAGGCCCAGAAAATTGGAAAACAGAAATTGTGTGACTGGCGGGACATTTGGGTATTAGAACTGGTCTGTCTGTAATTTGGGGTGGTTTCTAGTTTAATGACTTGGCCTCAGTTAGGGCAGAACCCCAGAAGTGAACCCCAGGACCAGGGGCCCCTGGTTGGAAATTTCCTACCTCCCTGTAGCCACACCCCCGCTCTCTGATTTGTCACTTCAGGCCCCGCCCCCACTCCCTAGTGACCACGCCTCTTTCTTCTGAAAGCCAATTGGCTGCTTCTGTACCCATCCTGCCCCGCCCCTATGGCTGGTTTTAACTCTTTCCTCTCCCCGCCTCCCCTTGCAGTGCAGTTCGACAGTCCTGAGTGGGAAAGGACCTCCGGCCCGGCCAAGGAGCTGCGGAGACCCCCGCCCAGAAGCCCGCAGCCCGCCGAGCGCGTGGATCCCGCCCTGCCCCTGGAGAAACAGCCGTGAGTGGGAAGGCTAGAGGCCTAAATCCCATGGCCCGGGACCTGTTCAGTCATTCTGACCCTCCGCTTGGGCAGAACAAAGCAGGTTACCTAGCGCTGGGCCTCTGCAGCCAAGGCCCGGCGATTTGCCCCCAGGACTAGGTACCGAACCCTGGGCCTTCACACCGAGCTCTGCCCGCCCCATCCCCACCCTTCTATTATTTGTTTTTTATTTTGAGTCAAGGAAAACCTGTTAACCCCACACCCAGACTCCTCTCGAAATTTCCAAGGGAAATGGGGTGTGATGGCGCACGCCTGTAAGCCCAGCACTAGGGAGGCTGAGGCAGGAGCACGGCAAGTTCAAGAGCAGTGCGGGCCACTCTGTGACTTAATGACCCTGCCTCAAAACAAAATAATTTAAAGAAAAGGTGGGGATGGAGCACAGCGAGAAGATCTCCGCATCACCCCCGCCCCCGCAAAAAAAGCCGAGGCCATTGACCTTGTTCCTGTCCCTGCCAGCCCAGAGGGTGGCCCCTGTCCCTCCCCCAGGTGGTTTCACGGGCCCCTGAGCCGCGCGGATGCTGAGAACGTCCTGTCACTCTGCAAAGAAGGCAGCTACCTGGTGCGGCTCAGTGAGACCAACCCCCAGGACTGCTCCCTGTCCCTCAGGTGAGACCGGGCCTCCAAGGAAGGAGGTCTCCGAACTGCTCGCTGGGTGGGGCGGGTTTTCAATGCGCAGAGGGGCGTGGCTCCAACCATCGGGGCGTGGCTTCCAGGCAGGTGGGTGGGGCCTCGGTGACCAGTGGGCGGGGCTTCCGTGGAGGCCTGCATGGCCAGCATTTGAGTGACCCGGTTAGATCCTGGTCCTCCATGCTTCTATTCTTACAATTCCAAGTATGTCCAGTTATGAAATGTTCCCAAGATTCTTCCAGGCTACTGAATGCAAGATCTAAAAGGACAAGGTTGGAAGAGGACTTTGGAGGCTGGGTCAAATCCTGGACCTGCCACTTCCTGTTTGTGGGACCATGCCAGACCGAGATAAGGGCCAGGAGCAAGATGAGGCCACGGCTAATCAGAGAGTGGCACCTTGTCCATGAGGTCTCAGGAAGAAAGTGACGATTGCCCCCAGGTGGGAGAAAATATGGGGCAAGAGGCAGGTGTGGAGGTGCACACCCGTAGTCCCAGTGCTTTGAGAGGCTGAGGCAGAAGGTTTCTAGCTTAAGGCTGGTCCAGGAGAGGGATCTCTACCCATGCCGTCTCTGCCGGGACCTCTAGGCGCCAGAGGACAATGCTGGGGGCCTGGGGAGCTCACCGCTGCCTCTGCCCCCTGTGCCCCCAGGAGCAGCCAGGGCTTCCTGCATCTGAAATTCACGCGGACGCGAACGAACCAGGTGGTGCTGGGCCAGCATAGCGGCCCCTTCGCCAGTGTCCCCGAGCTGGTCCTGCACTACAGCGCCCGGCCCCTGCCGGTGCAGGGCGCCGAGCACCTGGCGCTGCTCTACCCCGTGGTCCCGCAGGGCCGCTGCCCCGCGCCCTAAGAGACCTACCTACCCGGGACCGATGAGCGCCCTGCGCTCAGCCCATCCAGGCCATCTCTGGCCCGCGGGCTCCAGAGCCTAGGACTGTGTCCCCCACTGTCCTCCCCTTCCCCGGCCAATAAACGCGTCGTTGTGCTCTCCTGTGCCCTTCCTTAACTGGGACTGGCAGTGGCAGAGCCTGCGCCCCCTGCTGCCCTGAGGCACCTGCCTCACCCGGCCTTTGTTTGGATCGAAGGTGGCAGAGGTGGGCACGCACGGGGAGACAGGAATGGAGGCAGATTTGGAAGCCAGCCGGGAGGGTGGGAAGAAGGGGGAGAGGGAAAGATGGGGGAAGGGGGAGGCCAGGCCCCACCCCCTCATCCACATCCGGGCATCGCCAAGACCTGATCCTCGGAAAGGACATCTGTCCCCATGGAAACCGAGGGGGGAGGGGAGCCGGCAGGCTGGTGTCACCTCAAAGTAACGCTGGGAGGAGCCTGGTTTACCCTGCACCTCTCTCCAGGAATGTGGGGGTGCAGGGTCCTCACCTGGGAGGCGGGAGAGGCTCTCCAGTGCTAGGCACTGCTCCCAAACTGGGAGCTTCGAGGACCTGTCCCTAGGAGTATAAGGGGGACTTAACGCAGGTCCCCTTACCCCTGTGGGCCTCTCTAGCCATCCCTGGCAGGGACAGGAACCCCAAAGCCTCTATTTTTTGAGACAAGGTCTTACTGTGTAGCCCAGGCTGGCCTTGAACTTGAGGAGATCCTCCTGCCTCAGCCTCCAGAGTGCTGGGATCACAGGCCTCTGGCACCACACCCAGCTTCAGTGTCTTTAGCACCCCAAAATGCCCACTAATCCTCGCACTGGATTCTTCCAGAGCTTTTATTGAATATGCCGGAGCTGAAGGAACAAATCTGTCTTCAGTGGTCCCAGGATGAGCCTGTCCTCTCGGGGGTGCGGGATGCGCACCTCCTCTTTCCGCAGCCGCAGTTCCTACCTCCGCCGCGAGGGGGCAGTGTCGCATGCCCGCTTTTTCCCAAGGGCAGCTCTGGGTATAACCAATGGCCCGGGCTGGGTTGGGGGCTTCAGGGGTCTCTGGTTCCTTTTCTGGCTTTGGGGAACCCTCTTGGCCTGGGCTACCTCGAGTTGCCTGGGTCAGGAGACACCCTGACTGTAAAGACGGGGTGTGTCGGCCTGGAGCTGGGGCCAGGTTTGGGTGCTGGCTGTGGTGGGCGGGTGGAGGGCTGGGGGAAAGAGGTGGCGTAGACCCTCTGGGCCTTCTGGTCCTCCCTGGGGATGTCCAGCGCCTTCCCCTGTCCAGGCCATGCTCTGCTTCTCTTTGGGATCTCCCGGGGCCGGTACAAGACATTGCCATAGAATGGATTTCCTAAGGGAGAAGGTGGCATGAACTGAGAGGTGGCTGCCAGCCAGGTGTCATGGCACCCACCGGTTATCCCAGCACCCTGGAAGGCTGAGGCAGGAGGACCCCAGCTTCCAGCCCAGCCTTGGTAAGCTAGCAACTTAGTGACACCCCATCTTAAAATAAAAAAGGTGGAACATGGAGCTCCATGCAAAGGCCCTGGGGTTTCCTCCCCAGCGGTGCAAAAAAGAAAAGCATGGCAGTCAGGAGAGGGTGGCGCTGTCAGCTCATTTCTGGGGATTTCATCTCTGTTCCGGAAGGACGTGGATGTAGGCACAGCCTTCCCTCCCGCCCCTCCTACCCCCTTCTCCCGGGTTCCACAGCCCACCGCCTTCTCGGGGATGCAGGATGTGCACCTCCTCTTTCCGCAGCCGCAGTTCCTACCTCCGCCGCGAGGGGGCAGTGTCGCAGCGCACGCTCACCTGCGTCCTTTCGCCGCCTGCAGCGGCGGCCCCAGAGCACCGCGCCCAGCGCGCTGACGGCGGCCACGGCCACGGCCACGCCTCCGGCCACCAGCAGCACCCAAAGGAGTCCTTGGGGGACAGGGGCTGGATCAGGGGGGGTGGGACAGAGCGGGAGGGGCGGGCTGAGGCGGGGACGCGAGGGCGGGGCTCACCTGAGACCCGGGGGGTCCGGCTTGGGTCCTGTTGCGAGGCGTCTAGAGGGAAGAAATCTGGGTCACTGATGGCGACACCTGCGAGCCAGCCGCCTGCACCCGCAGGCCGAGCGCGCCCTGCCAGTCCGTGCGGGGCCCGGGGTGCTTGCTCTGCTTGGCCGTTTGCCTTCTCGATTTTGGGGTTTATTGTGAGACACTAAAACCTGTTTTTGGTGTGTGTTTTCTTCCCGGCACGGGGATTGAACCCAGGGCCTCACACCGAGCTAAATTGCCCAGGTCGGGCTCCAACTGCGATCTTCCTGCCTCAGCCTCCTGCAGCACTGGAAGGACAGGGGTGCGCCGTCGTGCTCTGCTGTCTGTGAAACCCGTTAACCGAAACCCTTTAAACGCACCCGGCGAGGCTAGGGAAGCAGACCCAGCTGTATTCTGACAGCTAGGGGAACGGGCACAGAAAGGTCAAGTTACTGGGCCACGTCGCACAGCAAATCAGCAAAGGAAGAGGGCGGGAAAACCAGCCTGGCGCCCTGGGAACCCTGCCCTCCGGGCCGAGGCTCAGCGCGCGGGGCTGGGGCCGGCGCCCTCTGCAGGCCCGGAGCTGCCGGTCCGTCCCTTGCAGCTTCCGTGGAGCAGCTGGGCTGGACCGGTCCCGGTCCTGCTAACTTCTGATTGGCCCCCTCGGTGGGGGTGGGTGGGGAGCCCCAACACCCCGGGAGGGCCCCCCTGGGGCAGGACCCCTGGGGCTCTGCCACGCCCGCAGGGTCCCTCTGCAGGTTGGGACGCTGGAGTGGGGGTTCTGGGCTGTGCACCACCACACCCGACACATCCTGGGCCCTGAGTACGGACCTCGGGGCCCTGCCCAGCTCCCCGCCCCCCACGCCATTCTGGGGGTGGAACCCGGCCTCACATTGAGCTACACCCCCGGTGCTGTTGTAGGTTTTTATTTTGAAACAGATTTTGCCAAGTCACTGGGCTGGGCTAGAATTTGTGATCTTCCTGCCTCAGCCTCCCAGAATGCTGGGGTGACTGGTGTGTGGAACTAGGGCCGGCTGCTCCCCAATTCTGAGAGTTGACGGCTTTCAACTCTGGACTCTAGGATTCTAGAATTCTCCGCTCTGCGAGTCGAGTCGGATTGCAAAATTCTAAGCATCTAAGTACAGAAAATCCTGCAATTCTAAGATGCTTGAATTGTTCCTTCTGTAGAGTGTTTCTTGATCTTATTTTTAATCCACAGCCCTAAGGTTTATAGACTTTTTGGAAATATTTTTTCTTTATGTTTTTTTCCTTTTTTGACACAGGGTCCAGCCTCCAATTCACTGCTATCCTCCTGCTTCAGCCCCAAATTGTAGCCGGAGTGGTGGCACCTGCCTGTCATCCCAGCACTCAGGAAGCTGAGGCAGGAGGATCCTTGCAAATTCGAGACCAGCCTGGGTTACAAAGTGAGCACAAGGCCAGCCTGAATTGCATAAGGAGACCCTGTCTCAAAAAGACCAAAAAAAAAAAAAAAAACAAACAAAAAACAAAACCCGAAGCACTAGGATTAGAGGTGTGTGCCCCCATGCCAGGCCCCCCCCATGAAATTTTAATCCCCAAATTTATTTACTGCTTCGTGTGTGTGTGTGTGTGTGTGTGTGTGTGTGTGTGTGTGGTACCGGAACTCAAACTCCGGACCTTGCACTTGCCAAGCAGGCACCTGTGTCACTGAGCTATATCCTCAGCCTGAGCTTCTATTTCTGCTCTGTGCAGGTGTCTAAACACAGGGGGAAGCCGAGGCTGCAGTAGTGCTGAGCGCTCACCCTCCATGTGTGAGGCCCAGACTGCAAAGCCAAAAACCAGCACAAAGGCGCCTTTGGTTTTGCCCCCTGAGAATAATCACTCCTTTTTTTTTTTTTTTTGTCTTTTTCCTTTTTATCAGTACCGGGGATCGAACTCACGACTGCCTGCTTGCAAGGCAGGCGCTTATGCCGCTGAGCTAAATCCCCAGCCCCGAATAATCACTCCTTAGGGACAGTTCAATTCTAAGTGCCTGGTAGGGCTGGGGATTTAGCTCAGCAACATAAGCACCTGCCTTATAAGCAGGCAGTCATGAGTTCGATCCCCAGTACCGATAAAAAGGAAAAAGACAAAAAAAAAAAAAAAAAAAAAAAAGATACTTTGCCGCGGGCCAGTGGCACAATGGATAACGTGTCTGACTACAGATCAGAAGATTCTAAGTGCCTGGAATTATCTGTCTGCTAATGCATCTCTAAAACTGCACAATTCTGTTTATGGGTTCAGGTTCCAGAATTGTCCTGGGTGCAGCAGACATGTACGCATATTCACCTGATGACGAGCAGGCTGCACACAGCACAGGACGTTGGCCCGATAAAGAGATGGTCACACCACAGACTACTCTACAGCCAGGAAAAAGGATGAGGCACTAATAAAAGTGAATTCCTCAGACATCATATGGAGTGAAAAAGGCAGACATGGGGCTGGGGATTTAGCCCAGCGCCATAAGCACCTGCCTGGCAAGCAAGCAGTCGTGAGTTCAATCCCCGGTACCGATAAAAAGATAAAAAGAAAAAAAAAATTGGAAAAAAAAAAAGAAAAAGGCAGAACCCCAGTATCACACAGAAAATAAATGGAAACCTAGGCCATTCCCCCGGCCACCTGCCCCTCCTACCTGTGTAAACCAGGAGCTGCGTCCGGTTCCCCTCCCCCTTCTCCAGCTCGGGAATCTCCACGGTCGCCCGGCACACGTAGGCCCCACTGTCGTTGAGGGCCAGCCAGTCCAGCTGCAGCCTCACCTCCCCACGCGCCAGCCAGGACAGTTGTCCCCGGGGACCACACCTGCCGGGGCTGTGGGTGCCACTGGTGAACAGCGCTTGACAGAAGAGGGCACCGTCCTTGGTCCACTCCACTCGGAGCCGCTCCCAGGCCTGCGTCTGGGTCAGCCGGCAGGTCAGGTTGGCCTGACCGCCCTGCATCACCCTCAAGTCCACGGGCGACTGCTGCACGGTCAGGCTTGTGGCTCCCTGCAGGGCTGGGGGACAGAGGAGGCCCGTGAGCCTGACACCCCAGCAGCAGGAGGCTGAGGCAGGGTCGGCACAGTGGCCCCTGCGGGAGAAGCTCGTTGGGGCCATGGTGGACCTGAACTGCCTGGTGGACCCCGCAAAAGGTGAGTTCCTGGCTTTCGGATGCAACCTGGGACCAGACAGGGAAAGAGACCAGGTGGCCCAAGGGCTGCTCAGAGGCCTGGAGGGGCTGGAGCGTGTCCTGCTGGGGCAGGGGAAGAAATAAAGTCCAGCAGGGCGAGGTGGGCGCATGCTGCCACCCCGCACTCCGAGGGGCTGAGGCAGGAGGGTTGCAGGCTTGAGTTAAGCCTGGGCAGCCGAGCCACTTAGCAGGGCCCTGCCTCAAACATTAAAAAGTTTGTTAAAAAGAAAACAAAGAAAGAAAACAAATTGTTAAGAAAAAGGAGGGGCGGCTGGGGATTTAGCTCAGCCACATAAGCGCTTACCTGGCAAGCGTGAGGTTGTGAGTTCGATCCCCGGGACCAAAAAAAAGACAATGCAAAAGGAGGGGGGGTTTGGGATATGGGTTGCTCTGAAAGCCCTGGTTTCTGCAGTATAGAGAGAGATGGAGGAAGAGGAGAGGAGAGGGAAGAAAAGAAAAAAACAGAAAAAGAAAAAAGCTGGCAGAGGGCCGGACTGCCCGGAGGTGGGCCAGGACAGAGGCCGGCTGGGCCAGGTCACCCATGTCTGACATGTATGTCAATTTTCTTATTCTGAGGAACCCCTTGAGCCCCCAACCCACAGTGTCAGGGAGCCAGGCCCTGTTTACTGAGAAAACTCCTGCTGGGCGTGGTGGCCCACGCCTGCCATCCCAGCACTCAGGAGGCCGAGGCAGGAGGCTCTGCGAAAGTTTGAAGCCTGCCCAGGCTGCAGAGCGAGACCCTGTCACAAATAACCCACAGAGAGGAAGGGGTGGCACGGAAGGCCTCCGCGGGGGGACAGGGCAGCGGAGGGGGTGCAGAGGGAGGGACCCCAGGACTCACCGCACAGCTGCACCAGGAGCATGGGCGCCCAGCCCCGGGACCCCATCGCCAGCTCATCAGCTGCGAGAGCACGCCCAGCTCCCATCCAGCTTCCTGCCACCAGGTCCGCCCACCCCGCCACCACAGGGGCAGACCTGTGGCTGAGGGGGCCATCGCAGGGGCAGGGTGATGTGGGGGGGGAAATAGCAGACATCCGGGGTTGGAGGATGTTTAGGAGTCCGTTTTCAACTACTGCACGCATGCCTCAGTTTCTCCAAAGTGCCCTGTACTGAGGGGAAGTTTGTGTAGTGAGTTTGTGAAAGATATTTCATTTTTCCTTCTTTCGTTTTGTTTTTAGTCCTGGGGATGAAACCCAGAGCTTGCACATTGAGCTACACCGCCCACCTGTTTTTATTTTTTGAGACAGGGCTTTGCTGAGTAGCAGGCTCCCCTTGGCTGGGCTGGAACCTGTGACCCTCCTGCCTCGGCCTAGCTGGCATACTGTAATGTCATCATGTCCAGACAAGCCCAGATTCCAGGCAGTGAGAACCGGAGCCGGCGACAGTGGACATCGCTGCCCTTTTAAGGGGAAAGAATCCAGGCTGGGGCCCTCGGGTCCACTGTCAGCCGAGGTTTCTGTAGGCGGCCTTCACTGGGCTGAGGAATGCCTCTGTTCCCGGCTTTCGGAGAGTTCACTGTTTCGGGGGTGCTGGAGCCTGGGTCCCGCCCCTGCTAGGTGCACCCCGGCCCCAGGTCCTCGGGTTGCATGCTTTCCAAGCCTCCAGCGACTGAACTGCAAGCAGGCGGCATACACAGGGACCTCACTGTCACACCCCGACCACGACCAGACCACGGGGCGACCTCCTTTCTCACCCTCAGCCTGGAAGGTGCTTGCTGTCAACCACAGGGAGCCTGCTGCGGTGCAGGCCTGACCTAGTCTTGCAACTTTTCTCTTCAGGCCCAGAAGGGATCTCTTCTGGGAAGTCTTTCAAACTCCACCCTCCCCCCAGTAGAACTGCTGAGGACCTTGGGGAGATGAAGGTCCAGGCTCTCCTGTTCTGTTGATGGAGAAACTTGTTTTGCTTTGTTTTGGAGGAGATAAAGCCTTGGGCTTTGTGGAATGTGTAGGAGTTCAGTTGTCTGGGGGAAGGGAAGGAGGGCTTTGCTGCTAAATGCTGGTTTGGACACTGTGCAGAGGTGTGAGTGTTCTAGTGCCACATCTTAGGGACTGGGGTAGGCGGTTTGGATGGCATTTTCAGTAGCAGTGTAGAAAGGATATGGGTGAACATGTGGGGAAACTGAGGCACCAGAGGACTGAGGATGATCCTGAGGTCACCCAGTGAAGCTGGAGATGGAGCCTGGGCTCTAATTTAGAGCTTTCCCTGGCTTAGACATCATGCATATTCTCTTGATTTAGGCCTTCTGCAATGAGCTGGGTCCCCAACACTTTTTTTTTTTTTTTGGTCTTTTTTGAGATGGGGCCTCCTTATGCAGTTCAGGCCGGCCTTGAGCTCATTTTGTAGCCCAGGCTGGTCTCAAACTTGCCACGATCCTCCTGCCTCAGCCTCCCGAGTGCTGGGATTACAGGCGTGAGCCACCACGCCCGGCTCCCAGCACTTTTTTTAAACTTTAATTTTACAACAGGATCTCCCTAAATTGCCCAGGCTGGGGTGCATTGGAAACCCTCCTATCTCGGCTTCTCGCAGTGCTAGGATGACATGCCTGGGAGACCAAGCCCAGCCCAGCCGTCTTCCTGACACCAGGCAAGCCCCGAACTCTGTAGGTCAGGATCCTGCGAACCCCGCCCGGGACTACATCTCCCAGAATGCCCCGGCGGTTGCGCCTGCGCAGTGCGCGCAGTGATGGAGCGCTGACCAGGGGCGCGGCGGCGGCGGCAGCGAGGACTCCGCGGGCCATTGGCTACCCGCAGCGGTCAGGGCGGCTTGTGGGACCCAGAACTAGCGGGGCCCGCGGGCCGGGCTGGGGTGACCGAGGCTGCAGCTATGGAAGACCAGAGGGTAGGACGGGGCGCGGGAGGGGGCGCAGTGCGGCGGGCGGGGTGGGGACCAGGTGAGAGCGCGCCCCCTCCCCCAGCTGCTCTGCAACCGCAGAGGCGGCCTTGCCTGGGTCGGGGCTCCCCTCCCTGGGAATGGGTGTCGGATCCTTCTGGCCTGGAGCCAGGGGGGTCCTCTGTGTCCCCCCACCCTACCCTGAGGACTTCCTCCCCTCCCCTGCGCCTCCGTCCCAGGTGTCCCCACCCCCACCGAGCCCTGCAGTGTTGACCCCGCCCACCCTGGGCCCCCAGAAAAGGGGCGCCAGACCCGGGCCGGGCCCACCCTGACCCGTCCTCCCCTCCCCACTCACCTGACCCCTGGGGCCCCCCTTTGCTTGTCCCCCTTTCTCCAGGTGATCCCGCCTCACCTCTCCCCAGGTGCACCCCATCTTCATAGGAGCCCCTTCCAGGCTCACCCCTGCTCCCAGGCCCGCCGTGGCCCGGGCTCTCCGCCTCCCCTAGGTCTCTGCCTTGCCCCGAGAGCCCCTTGCCCAGGCTGGCCCGTCCCCTCCGGGCAGGGCAGGTCTCCGCTCGGGCTGGCCCGTGTCCCCCAGCGCTTGCTCAACTGCAAGATGCAGGCGCTGGGTCGCGGGCTGGGCGCTCCGCAGGCCAACCTGGTTCCGTCTGGGCCTCTCCTGGAGGATGAGGCTGATCTGATCTGATCTCAGCGGCCGCCCGCCGGGTAGGAGAGGAGTTAGGGCCCGAGCCGCTGCTTTCCGGAGGCTCACATGGTCCGTGTGTGTCTGTGCCTCCATGGAGCAGGAGGCGCTGCGCAAGATCATCACCACGCTGGCTGTGAAGAACGAGGAGATCCAGAGCTTCATCTACTCCCTCAAACAGATGCTGCTTAACGTGGAGGTGAGGAGGCGGAGGGCCGAGGTGAGGGATGTGCGGGGCCGGCCTGTTGCTGCCTGTACCAGGCCACGCTGCTTGGGTCAGGGCCTCAGTTTCCCTGTTCTGATCCCGGGGCTTTGACCGATCCTGGCTGTGCCCACCTCCAGGCGAACTCAACCAAGGTGCAGGAGGACCTGGAGGAGGAGTTCCAGTCCCTCCTGTCCGTGCTGGAGGAGCTCAAGGAGGGCATGCTCATGAAGATAAAGCAGGACCGCGCCAGCCGCACCTACGAGCTTCAGGTGTGGGACGAGGCCTCCCTGCCGCCCACAGGGCCAGCGGGGTCCAAGTGGCCCCGCATCTTCCTCCAAACCCCGCGGTCCCAGACTCCGTCTGTCCCCTGCCCGCTCCAGGTGTGGCCTGTCAACCCCCACCTGCATGCCCTTCTCTTTAGTCCCCCAGCCTTGACCTCCCAGATCTGAGAGCTCCCCCGCACTCAGACACCTCCCGTGGCACCTGTAGGCTCTCACATTGCAAGCTGGGCCCTGCAAACCCCCCAGGAGCTTCCTCCCATCCCAGATCCCCGTCCCCAGGGAAGGTGGAGCCCGAGAGCACAGGTGTGCCCAGGTGCGTGAGGGATTAAGGGCAGGGCTTCCGGAGTGATTCTTCCGAAGCCCCAGGAGCAGGGTCAGTGTCACTGGACCCCCAAAGTGCTACCTGTGTCCCCACACGGATGGAGAAGGTGGGGCTCCCTCCGTCCAGGAGGTGGCAGGAGGCTCCCTGGCAGGGTTTAAGGCACTGCAGCGAGCTGTCCCTCCTCGGGCCCTGTGCCAGGCTGATGGGTCCCTCTCATCCCAGAACCAGCTGTCCGCCTGCACCCGGGCTCTGGAGAGCTCCGAGGAGCTGCTGGAGATGGCCAACCACACCCTGCAGGCCGCTGACAGTGAAGACTTCCTCCAGGTGGGCGTCTGTCTGCGGGGTGGCACGGGGCGTCACGGGGACAGTGCAGGCCAGCCTGTGGCCTGTGCATTTCTGCTTACTTGCGTGTATGTTTTTGTTTTTGTTTTTTTGTTTCGTGGAAGGACAGCCTGCCTGGGTAGTGGTTAGCATGTGTGTCTCAAACATTGCCAGGTACAGTGGTGCTTGCCTGTCATCCCAGAACTCTGAGAGGCTGAGGCAGGAGGGTTACAAATTCAAATCAGCCTGGGCAATTTACCCTGTCCCAAAATAAAAAGCAAAAAGGGTCAGGGGTGGAACTTAGAGCAAAGACCCTGGCTTCCAAGAAAGAAAGAAAGAAAAAACTGCAGAGGACATATTTATTATACTGAAAAATTATTGCTGTCCTGAAATTCAGATTTATCACTGTATATGTGTGTGTGTCTGTGTATATATCATGTGTGCTTAGTGTATCTCAAATATTGCATGGGACATGCTTATGCTAAAATAACTTTTTGTTATTTATTTGAAATATCAGGGGCTGGGGATTTAGCTCAGCGGCATAAGCACCTGCCTTGCAAGCAGGTGGTTGTGAGTTCGATCCGCGGTACCAGAAAAAAAAAAAAGTAAAAAAAAAAGAAATATCAGTGAGCTGTGTCTCGTTTTTTTTGTTTTATTTTGTTTTTGAGACAGGGTCTCGCTATGTTTAGGCTAGCCCAGGCTGGTCTCAAACTTGCAAGGATCCTCCTGCCTCAGCCTCCTGAGCCCTGGGATGATGGGCTGCCCCACCTTGCCCGGCGGTGGCCTGTATTTCTTTTGGTTTGCTAATGCGCCTGTCCTGGGCCCTGGCAGGAGGCTGGAGAGGGGGTGAGGTTTGTGTCTCACGCAGCCTTTGCCTCCCTTCGGGCACAGCCAGGAGGAGGAGTTTCTGCCTCCGTGTGTGTCCCCAGCTCTGTCACGGGGCCGCACCCCGGTTCCTGACTGCACTCTGTCCCTCCCTCTAGGCTGCCAAGCAAATCAAAGATGGGTAAGATGCTGGGCCTGGCCCCTGCCCGCGGTGACAGTGGGGACCTGGGCCCAGAGCGCTGGATGGGAACACGGGACGCACTGCAGATGGCCAGGCCTACAGCCCCACCCCGAGACCCTGTCAGCTGTCAGCAGGCCGCTCCCACCTCCTTCTCTGCAGTGTGACCATGGCTCCTGCCTTCCGGCTGTCACTGAAAGCGAAGGTCAGCGACAACATGAGTCACCTCATGGTGGACTTTGCGCAAGAGCGTCAGATGCTGCAGGCCCTCACGTTTCTCCCTGGTGAGAGGGGAACCTGCCGGAGGGCCAG